AGGTTCAGAAAATGCTGCTGTTAGATATTTGGAACGAATCAGTCCAATGGAGTTCTTCCAAGCTCAGTAGTAATTTTGAGCTGTGTTCAGCATCACCTCGAGATCAGCCTTTTTATCCGTTTCCTTCCTACCTCTAGTCTTTGAAGAGCAGATTTTGGAAATCTTTGGATGTTAATTTTAACCCTTTCTTTTTTTACTTTGCTAATTTCATCTTGAAAAGCTTTCAATTTTATTTACAATCACGTACTAAGAATAGAAATGTACAGTAAAACTGGTCAGGTAGGCTGCCTTTCCTTTTAGTTTAGCTTAGACTGAAGTGGAAACCTTTCTAGCAGACTTCTTTTTAAGGGGGGGTGGTTATTCAGGTTGTAGGTTGAGTGCAGAATGGAGTTTTGATTCTCTTATGATTATGTTTACATTAAATTTATATTGTTTATGTACATATAAATCTCTTGATTCGCTTGCGACCTTCTAATTAGTTTTCCTGTTGTGTTTTGTTTTGTTTTGTTTTTTTTTTTTAAACTTAGTTTTAAATATTCACGTTTTCCCATCAGGAAAGTCAAATTTAGCTACTGGGAAACGGCACATGGGTTTCAGTACCCAAGATGTAAAGGCGTGCTATGGTGTGCTATAGCTCTTAGAGGCGTGTCGACATTTCAGTGCTCCAAAATGTGTCAGTACGCTAGTACACACCTTGTTGAAACAAGATACTGTCTGATAACCTTTGATTGCAAAGTAATTTTTCACTACTTCAGCGTGTTGGAAAGAACCTTTACAGCATCTTGCTCTTGAACCTTTTAACCTCCAAATGGTGTCAGGTGGGGTTGTTACCACAAGTCAATTCATCAGTCAATGAATGACCTAAATTGGCAAACAACAAACGCTTGAGTGCTTGAGTCCTAGCATGCAATTGAGTAATTCTCCATTCACCCATTTATTGGAGTGAGAAAAGAATCCCTAACTGACCTTTATTTCTGAAAGTTAGGGTTCCCCCCCTGCCCTTCTCTGGGACAGTGGGTAAAATTAGCGGTTAGCTCTTAGGAAACGTAAGCGTGTTATTCAGGAGAGGTGATTGCTTGATTTATGGAACTGCAGATTCTTTCTGTGTAAATCAAGGCTCATTGGTCAGGAGACAGCTTAAGCAGAAAAGTTATTTTGTAAGAAATTTGACCTTATGATTGCAAAGTGGCTGAGGAATAAAACCCTGTTTTGTCTTTTTCTTTTTGTAAGATATAACAGTTACAAATGGAACAACAGAACTGCTTCACACTGAGCACATCTGGTATCCCAGAATACGAGAGGTAATGTAGGAATAGCCTTCAGCTGCTGATCTGTCCAATTTCAGTTAAATTTCTCACGTAACCGTCTACGTGTTCTCGTCTTTAAGTTGACAATTTCTTCTTTCGCTACGATTTGATTTGAATATGTCCCTTTAATCATTTCACGGAAGTCTTCATCGTTTCAACTTGTTCATTGCTGAAAAGCAAATACAATGAGTTAGTTGCCACGTTCAAAAAGATGCACAGTCAAATACACCAGTGGGACTAATATTCTTCTTGTAACGCTTTGCGATTTGTGCTCAGCCGTAGCAGTTGAGCAGTACATCAGCTGCTATCAGATCGCTTGCCTGCTGTCACCATTCAGTAGGCTGTCCCGTGGAAATTAATGTGCAGTTGGCAAATCTCTTAATATCTAGGCGTCTTAAGTTGGAGACGATTCTGATAAGGCCTCGATTCTCTCGAGAGAGTTGCTGAAATACACCAAACTCTTCTCCACTTGCAGCATGTCAGTAGGAACTTCGTCATGCTTTGCAGAGCCCAGGACGAGGGTTGTGCCCAGGCATCACACTAGAGTGGTAGATAGCGTAGTCCAAATTAAGGCGTGTGTCATGGAATTTATCTCCCATCCCGTTGCTTTGGGCTGCAAGCTTTTTCTTAATTAAAAACAAACCCCTCTCTCTTCCCCATGTTCAAACCATAGCTACATCCTGCCAAGAGCCCTGCAGCCAAGAGGGCTGACAGTCTCCTGAGACCACAACGCTGCTCTATACCAGCTTCTAAGGAGCACTTGTGAACAATGCAGCATACACTCTGCCCCTAGGAGCTAGGAGCATCACCTCCGTGGCGCCACCAACCCTTGCCGGTTCGATCTGAGAGCTTAAAGGTTAGCCTGGAACCCAGGTCTCCTGTCTGACAGTGTGATGTGCTATCCACACAACTACCAGACTGGCCCACTGGTCTGTTGTGTAATAGTTTTGTGGAGAAAACCATAAGTGTTATGCTTAAGCAATAAGTCACTTAAACATAATGAGCTGTTTTATGACAAAAAAAATTTGCTGAGTTCTTCTGTGTCACTGAATTCTTTAACTGCAGTTTGTAAGCCAGAGCAGAAGAAGAAATGTTTTGGTTTTGCTTTAAGATTTGACTGAACTGTCTCTTTTCCGTTCTTGTGTGTTCAGATCCAAGGTGCTATTATCATGTCCTCCTTGATAGAAGTGGTGATCGGTCTGCTTGGCCTTCCCGGCGCCCTGCTGCGATACATCGGACCTCTGACTATCACGCCAACTGTCGCTCTCATCGGCCTCTCCGGTTTCCAGGCAGCCGGAGAAAGAGCAGGCAAACACTGGGGTATCGCGATGTTGTAAGTACTCCTGGGTGCTCTTGACCTCTAGGCCGGTGGGTCCCAGTTGGTAAGTCGTCATGCAGGAATTCTGGAGTGCGGATGAAAAACCTGAGTTTGCTTGACTACCAAAGGCAGCGTTACAGGGCTAAGTACGTGAAGTTTCCACTTTTCAGTCGTTCTTTCAGATTGTTTAAATGTGGTATGTTTTCCCCTGTGTTTCAGTTTGATTTTGTTTGGAAGATTGAGCTTGCAGCTGATGGGGCTAAATATGTTCATGCTCCTCCAAGTAGAAGGTTGGAGTGAGCAGGGGGTGGGGAGGGCGGTGCTATTGTGCCCCCCCCCCCCCCCCCCCAAAAAAGATTAATGTTAACAATTAAAAGGTATTCAGTGCTCCCCTTCCTCCCTGCCAAGTCAGCTTGCCGTCCAAGTGATTCCTGTAGTATTGGGATTTGGCGTAATGGATCAGAATATTTTCTGCTTTGGTGTCTGTGGATTGTGAGCAAAGACAAAAAAGTTGCTTATTGTGTTTGTTATTCTTCACAGTGCTTTTGCAAAGAGCTGCGTGTTAGTTTCTGTAACTTGGGCCAGGACTGCCATCTGTACGTCATTTGTTTTCATACTGATTCTCATTATTATCGCATATTGTTTCAGCCTACAGATATTGCTCTCTGACTTCAGGTTTTACCATACTAAATTACGCCAGTAACTTTCTCTTTGTTTTCATCGCTTTTTAAATTCTAAGCTCTATAGTTCCTTTAAAACTTTCTTGCTTTTATTCCTGGGATCGTTTCTAGGCTTGAAGTGATGCACAATGGCCAGAATTTCACTGGGGCAATTCAGCTGTATATCTTTTTTTTTTTTTTTTTTTTTTTTTTTTTTTTTTAAATCGAGTTACGCTAAGGTTTCACGGGGATGAAGACTACGTTGGTAGTTTCAGGGTGCCCTGCAAGTTTCCCTCTACCCCCAGTTCTGAGATAATTCTTTTAATTTATAAAGTATAAGTAGACGTTTCTCTTTAGTAGGCAAAAAGGCTTTTGGAGTGAGTTTCGGGGCCTCATCTGCGTATTTCTGTAGGTATAAATGCCAGGGAAACGTAAGAATCGGGAATAGCGGCATGAAGGGGAGTAACTGAGAAAAGGGGAGTGAACAGAATACAAGAGTTTCCTGTGAGATGGTATGAATAGTCAGCCAAATGAGGATGGAAACCACATTTTTGGGAGACTAAAATTGGCTGAAGCAGTTGAAATGTTCAGTATATAGCAAACAACTTTGTACCGGCTCTGGAAGCAGAAGGAATGACATGATGAGATCAGGTTCTGATCTGACTAATCTGTTTGCACAGTACTTTGAACATATAAAGTATTCTGTAAGTGCAGCTTATGATTAAAAGGGCTATTTAATTCTCTTTTATCTCAGATGTTAGCCTCGTGAATAGTTTTGTAATTCTATTATGTTAAGCAACTGACCCAAAGGAACGTTTTATTTTGCTGTTAAGCGAATTCTATGCAAGTTGGGACTAATGTTAAATTAAGCAAGTAGACCTTTGGTGAATTGGACATGGAAACCTGTAATTTGAGTTGACATTTTGCAAATGGAAAAACATAAATCAATTTTGGAACAGGGTTTAAATATTACCCAGTCAGTAATTACTCTCTGACTTCTGCCATGCAGAAACGTACCCAAGGTTGTTGAGAATGTCTCCGTAGCCATCTAGATCCACTCAGGCTTGATCTGCACAAGATGTGGCACTCGAAATCATCTTGACTGTTCGGATGAGAGAAAAGTAATCGCATTGCTATCCCGCGCAGCAGCGTAATACCTGTATAAGAGCTATTATCTTCTATTAGCCGCCGATGGTATTTGACAAGACTTTCACTTTGTCAAAAATTTTTCGGACCTCACGTGTTCTAAAGGTACCAGGCTGAAACGATTTGATCATAAAGCAGGTCACATCATAATCTATAAAAAGGCAATGTATTCCTGAATCTGGCTTTGCCTGTACGCGTGGCAAGCGAAACTGTTTCTTTGGGCAGTCAAAGATGTCACAGTATTTTACAGTATGGCGTTAAGCCTCCTGCCACGCTCTCTGTAGCCAGCCCCAATATTCCGCCTGCTTTGTAGACGAGCAAACTGAGAGGCGAAACGCAACGGTTTTAGTGAGTCAAATTTAAATGTCCTGCCTCGGTCTCCTGCTTTAGTCCCTGCCAAGCCACGGAGAGGATCTTTGTAACGTATGTGTCCTCCTTGACGTTATTTACAGCCCTGTTCTAAATAAAAACCACGCGAACTGTGTGTCCTCGGGGCTAGCGTGCGGGATCGCTGCTGTTAGGACTGGAGTCCATCTTTCTATAGTGGAGTTTTGGGGGAATGCCAAAATGTTTCCTGGATGCAAGGAAAAGGTGCCTTTATCATTCGACTTTAGTCAGGGGTGAAGGCTATAAATGACACCTTCCTTGTGCAGAGCTCTTTGTTCCCGGAGTTTGAGGGAGAATAAAGCTCTGTTTTGTTTCTTACAGGCGGAAAGCGATCTTGAATGGAAAAGGGAGGACAGCTTAAAATCCGTCTTTGTTTTTTAAGTCGGTGATAAAACGTAATCTGCTCCCATTTCAGAGACGCTTTTGCTCCTTCAAACAACTTGACTCTTTGTATAGTCTTTTTCTGACTGATTTGATTTATGGTAGCCGGGCTGGCTAGCGCAAAGAGAAGGATCTCGCTGAAGATAAGAGCGAGAGACATAGAGGTGTAGTGACTGATGCGTTTTAGCTGTTGTGTCCCATTCACCCTCCTGTCTGTCCTTCCTGGTTGTTCCCCCCAAACCCCAAAGCAAACAAACAAACAAACAAGCATACAAAACCGTTTGGGCCCTTTCCTGCTGCTTATGCAGTGCAGACCTGGATGCAAATAGTTACAAAGTTTGAGTCAAACAGGAGAGCGCAGCTTACCTCTTTCCCAATGGCTTTATCTCTGAAAATCTTTCTGTAGTCTGTCTTGCTGGTTTTCCTGGTTTTGTTTACCTGTTTGCTGCCGGCTGTGTTGCAGTAATTAAGAATACAAATTACATAGTTTGGGGTTTTGTGGAATAACAGCATAATTAAAATATAGTCTCTCCTAATGCTTCGTCTTGTGCTAAATCTTAAAAATTTCCACTTATATTTTGGGTTTGAAGAGCCTAAAGAGTTATTCAGTTTGTACTGGGAAAGATTTGTAACATATCGATGGTAACGATAACGTGTCTCTTCTCCCACCCTCCTCCTCTTGTCTCAGGACGATTTTCCTAGTATTGCTGTTCTCTCAGTATGCCAGAAACGTCAAGTTTCCCTTACCAATTTACAAATCCAAGAAAGGATGGACAGCATACAGGCTGCAACTTTTCAAAATGTTTCCTGTAAGTAGTTGAGCTTGTTCTTCAGTTGGCAAAGGACGACTTAAGAGTTCTATTTATGGTGTCTTGTATGTTGATTTTTTTAAAACAGTATCATAGATCACAAAAATTAGATTAAAGCTTGGATATGCTTATGGGAAACTTAACTAAATGGCTCATTTGCTAGAGGAAATAGTGTCTCGTGTATTCTTGCCAGATCCTATTCTGGCATCTCTCTCTGGTGAAGAGCCATTGGAGTGATGAAGATGATGGAGTGTCGGGGAGGGGATGGGGTAGAAAAGAAGGTACGTTTATGCGTGCAATGAAAGGCTAAATTGAGCCCTCCAAAAAGGAAGGGTGAGATCGTTATCTTTTGGGTTTTTTTTGAAAGCAGTACTTGGTTTCCCCATGTGCAGGACTTCCTTTTATTTCCGTGTTAAAGTTAGAATGAGTTCACTAGTTTAAGTGCTCATTTGGAGACTTTCCCGTTTGTTAGGAGAGAGAAGAGGCTTTCTCTAATTCCAGAGCTTTTGTAACTGCACCTCTGTTTAAAACAAAAAACAAAAGGCACCTAACAGATCCATTACTGGATTTGCTGTTCTTCAGACTTAGAATATCACTTAAGATCACGCTAAGATAAGCGTGTAAAAGATACTCTGTGCAAGAACTGTTTGCTGTGGATGAATATTGTCAATAATTGTTACTTTAAACAATGTTGGGGTTTTTTTTCCCCCTCCTCTCTTCTGTCACAGATTATTTTAGCTATTTTGGTGTCATGGTTGCTCTGCTTCATCTTCACTGTGACGGACGTCTTTCCCCCTGACAGTTCGAAGTATGGCTTCTACGCTCGCACAGACGCCCGTCGAGGAGTGCTCTTGGTAGCTCCGTGGTTCAAGGTTCCTTACCCTTGTAAGTATGTGTTTGTTTGTTTGTTTGCTTTCCTTTTAAGGCTGGTTTTAAGAACATACCTGTGAGCCTTTCTCTGTCCTTCTCGCAAGCATTGCTGTTTTTTTTTCTCGGTATTAGATTCCGATACGCTTTGACGTACAGTAGCCGATGGGAGTCTTTTAACTGACCTAAAGGCACTGTGTGTGAGGATTACAGTTTTTCTCATGCATTATCATCTTTAATGTGGTGTCTTACGGTCTCTTCCAAGAAAGACCGAGTGCCTGTAACTTGAATTTGCGGAAAGCGCTCACAGGGTTTAAGGAGGTAATTCTGAGTTCTTCTGCAAGTAACTGCAACCATTCCCTGCAAATCCATGTTATATATGTTTATCTGTACTTATTGATACTGTGGTCAGCTGCTGTTAGTATTACGCAGTAACAGAGACAGGTTGTTAGAACTCCTGTAGAGCTGCTGGAGTTACTCATTCTCATTGTTGAAAAGAATTAGTGTTGTAATTAACTTAGTGCACTTCTCGACTTAGTACTCCCCCCAACACACCACTGCTTGAATTAACAGTGTTAAACGTAAAGATGTTCAGAATTGGCATTAAAATCGGGCTAATGGGTGAGTTAGAAGACAGCAGTCAATGGTTTGGTTTTTTTTTTTTTGTCCTTTGATTGGCATTTACAAGAGAAAACAAAATGGTTTACACTGAATCTTGTACAATTTATTCTTCTGCTGGCCACCCCAAAGTTTAAAGCTGTTAAAAGCTGCTCCTTATGACTATGAGATGGAGTTGCACAACCAGTTGGTGCTTGTGCTGCTCGGAAATTATCGTGGCAATAATAGAGTCATATTCTGCTAGAATAGAATAATAGAAATGGTTATGAATACCAGCATACCGTAATGAGGCAGCTTCAGCTTCCTTGTTGTGGTTTTCCATATGCTTTGGTTCTGATTAGTCTTTAAAAGAAACCACTTCTAAAGAATGACTTGCAAGTTGCATAACAGAAGGTTTGGGGGATGAAGAAGCCGACGACTTTTCTCCACCTTGATTAGACCATTCTTATTTGTAAAGCCTTGTTCATTCATGTTGGTGTGACTTAAACTTTCTTTTGTTGTGAGAGACTCATCTATTTCAAAGAGAAAAAAGCATCAAGGCAATTGCTATGGAAAACCTGCCAAGCTTTGCTACGGGCTTAAATCAATCTTATTTTCTCTCCTGCAGAAATTTGCAGGTGGATGGTGTTTGTGCATGGTCATAGCTGGCTTTTGGCTGTTGTCTTTTGTAGACTAAACTCGTAACCAAAGACAGCGTTTTCAGAAAAATCATAATTAAGTGGTATTGGCCTCACTAACCTGAATTCCCCCCTCCCCGCCTCCCCCAGCCAAGTGGTAGTTGAAATTCATGTCTTCTGCACAGGAGGAATTTTTTTGGCGGGGTTTAGGTCCTTTTTCAAGCGTGATCAAAGCAGTTGGTTAGGCAGTTTTTTCTCTGCTCCTTTCATCTAGTTGAACTTGCCAGACAGTGTTACTGTAAAGGGAGTTTGATTCCATTAAAGATTAATAAATTGCTGTATGTTTTGATATCTAAATTGTTTTCGGTGGAACGAGAGATTTCAGTTTTCTTTTCTTCACAGTTCAGTGGGGACTGCCAACAATTTCGGCCGCTGGAGTAATTGGAATGCTCAGCGCCGTTGTTGCTAGCATCATTGAATCAATAGGGGATTACTATGCCTGTGCCAGGTTGTCTTGTGCTCCTCCTCCACCTATTCATGCAATAAATAGGTACGTCAAAAAAGAAATCTTTATCTGTATTTTATGCTACTATTTTGTACTTTTTTTTTTTTCCCCTTGACGTTAGACAGGAACGTGTTCTGATATCAGATGTTACAATTTGGTCAAACACAAGGCCCCAAGATCTGAAATGTAAGATGCAACTGTCATTTTGAATGATTTGGATGCTAAATGTAACGCTGGCAACCTAGCTCTATTTCTGCTGGAATCTGTGGAACTTATCCCTGCTGCAACTGCAATAGTACAACTCCGAATCGGCTCGGGAGGCAGCGTAGCCTGTTCAATTCACCTGAAATGTAATTTTAGGAGCGGAGAGGGGCTCTAAGTTTGACTTGATTGTTTTATGTTCTCTTCAGTTCTTTCGGAGCACGGGTATCTAGAAAGCGGGCATCTGGGATACAGAAAACAGAACGTATGTTGTTTCTCCAGGGGTGTCGGAGCTTGAAACGCTAATTAAAATAAACCATGCAGGACAAATACCTTGAAAGGCACCTAGAGAGCCTGCAGTCATAAGGCACTGTCTGAAACGAGTCCACGTTAATACAAGTTTGACTCTTGCTTGTTTGTGAATTGCAGAGGGATTTTTATTGAGGGTCTTTCCTGTGTTTTGGATGGAGTATTTGGGACAGGGAACGGATCCACTTCTTCCAGCCCTAACATTGGCGTCTTGGGCATCACGAAGGTACGTGTTTTACCTTGATCAGCGTGTGACTTGAATGTTATTGTATATCCTGAGGTGGCCGACTCGTGCCGTTTTCAGGTTTCACAGTATGACCCTCTTTCAAGAAAGAATACTACTTGTTATTTTGTACAGACAAACTTTACACAGTATTCTGAATTTACTTAATTTGGCTGTACCAACCGTTGTCCGATGGAAATCGATTCCTGATAAGGACCCCAAAAATCTTTTCATTCAAAGTAAAAGCAGTTAGACCTACATAAAGGAGATGATATTAAATAAACTGTCCCTTTGAAAACCCAGAGGGCATTCCAGTGATGTGTGGTGGGTTTTTTGTTTTTTTTTTTAAGTTGAGGCAGAAACACCGTAAACTGTGTAGAAATTGATATTCTTTTAGCCACCTTGGCCCTGAAAGCATCAGTAGAGGAGAGCTGAATATTTTTAACTTCTCATTTTGACACATGACGAAATGCAACTTGAGATCCTTGGGTCTTATCTACATCTGTACTAGGACATTACACTGGCACAGCTAGAGCAGGAGCTTGCAGTCAAGGTAACTTCAGAGTTAAATATACCCTAAATATTTGTCCTCATCATGATAGCTTTATAAAGCCCTGAGCATTCTTCGGGGATTACATATTTTTGGGGGTGTTACTCAGCAAAATATGTAAGCGCTTGAGGAATTGCATTGGAACCAGCGGGGTTATTCATGTGCTGACCTGGCTGTGTGCTCGAACGCCTTGCTGAACTGGGAGACCTTGGGCCGCAGATAGATTTGCTTGACGTTGTTAATTTAACCTTGCTAAAAAAAATAGCGATAAAATTGCTAAGAGTAATTTATGTTGTGAATACGTACATTTTGTTGCGTTATTTGGCTTGGAAGCTATAAATCCACTTCATGCATGAGGGAGTACCTCACCCCTCTGACTTAATGCAGCATAGATGGTGAATTTATCTTCGGCCATTTTTTTCTGCACAAAGGACAAGTCTGTTTGCTTTTAGGATGGGTTATAAATACTAGTAGCACCATCTGCTGTCTGTATAAGTCTCTTCCTTTCGATTGCTGATGGAAATTTCCTAGAAGAAATTCTAGTTACAAAAAGCGTTGAAGAAAGGTTTATTCAGTTCTCTCCTCTGTTTCTGCCACTGACTTTGTAGCAGTTGGTATCAGTTAACAGCACTTTTTTTATTAACAGGCCTTAGAAACGAGTGTACTTTTTGCTTTGGAACAGCAGCTGTTGCAGAGAGCAAAATTAGATACAGTTAGGTTTGTTCAAAGAGCGTCATTAAAAGTGAACGTGCCTGATGCAAAATGGCACAGCTGGATGGCTGTGCTCCAGCGTTTTGTCTTGTTTTCCTGTCTGCATGCACCTTCCTAAAAACCTAGTAGTTTGCAACTGAAATTTGTATCAAAATGGCTTTTATCCTTTTTTAGCGTTTATCCTCTGCTGTTTATTTGGGAGAAGAAATCTTTAGCGCTCATGAGCAAAGACTGCATAGTGATCTCCTCATACCAGCGTGGCGTTTGAAAAGGCGTTCACCTTTTTTTGAAGTCAGTATGATTTGTGAGGCTTTAGCTGGGGCAAAAACGTTGCAAAGTCTTGGAGCTGGCCTCAGAATAGTTTTACTTGGTGAGAGGAGTCAATTAAAATGTGGGTTTTTTTGGAGGCCAAAATTACAGGCAGCTCATGCCATAATGTTGATGGAATGGATACTCAGCAAGATACTAGGTACCATATCCTCTCTTCATGCATGCCAAAATAATCATTTGAAGGGTGTGTATGAGTGTCTGGGAATAAGTATGCAGTTTTAGCTCAGTGCTAAAAATCTCAGTTGGGACTTCGTTTGTTTGACTTGTAATGATTGCTTATTTGCATAGATCAATGTCATTATCATGTAGAAGTTTTTTTTTAAAGAATCTGCACGTTTCATACAGCAGAATATTTTTGGAGCGAGATATTGGTGATCATGAGGAAATGAATATTTCTATAAAAACAGAGAAAGATGCAGGCAAACTTTCATTGCTATTCTACTGAATCACCCGTATTCACTAGTCTAGCTTCTTTCTGTAACTGAATGCTTCCCATCTAACAGTTGAGCAGTGAAGAATATTTGAGGAAAGAAAGAAGTACTTTTTACCCTAGGTGTTCCTACTATATCTTTACTTAAATTCAGATGGCTTGATAGTATCATAAGTTACAGTGCTACTTTCTAAAACTTGTAACACATATATGCATGCATTGGTTGAAGCGCTAGCGTGACACTTCACTTGAGTATTTCTGCTTCTATATATGGGGCACTCGGCTCGGTCACACATGATTAACAAACTAATATTAACTTCTCTGTGAAGCTTAATACTCTATAACAGAAGTCTGCAAAGGGCTTTGCTGGAAACCACCTTTCCAGCATAACGCTTTTTTGTGCCTGGTGCACCTCCTGTCCACGTATAACCCTGTTACATCGTACATTCATGCTCGTCAACTGCTGTTGCAACATAACGCCCGAGAAACGCTGCCCTAAGTTTGAACGCTGAAAATAAAAGTGGGAAGGAAATGAAGACGCTCGGTTGCACAGTGTTAGCACAGCAGTGTTTTGCATGTGAAATGCATTCAGCTCTGATCTCGGAGAGAGATGTAAAATGACTTGATGATGTCTGTCTGGAAAGTCTGCACCTCCTTCAGGTGAACGGCATGGAAGGTAGGCAATACATGCATCCTTGTGTAAAAGGGCAGCAGCACATGGAACTTTTTTTTCTCTTTGCATTATAGTTGACCAGTTTGCCATCTCTCCTAGGTACGATCTATTTATCGTCTTTATTGTAGATGGGACCGTGCCACCTTTCATGCTTATTGTGGCCATAGCAGTTACAAGCTCTGCTAATCCGATTTTAAGATGGCTTAACGTTAATGACAACAGGCAAAGGCAAACAAAGTTATGTTAGAATTGGATTGCAGCCACGTTACAGCCGAGTCCTCCGAGACATGTGTAAATGCTCTGCAGCCTGTATTTTAACACCACAAAAAATGTAGGTGGAAGCTTGAAAAGAAGTCTTAAATATGATGGTCAAAAGTTTTAATTCATGAGGACCTTAAGGTTTTTTACAAGGTTGGCTTTTTGAGGCTCTGTGAGAAATATTCTCAGGTACGTTAATTCAGACAAAACCCTCCTCGCTTTGCATCAGAGCAGAACAGTTGCCAGTGTCTCCTGGGCTCCGTCTGAAGAGAGAACACGAAAGCGAATTAAAACAATAAAATGTGAAGCATAAAGCTGGCTTAAATGCTCACTCTTCCGGTGTCCTTTTCTTTTTGTTCTCCTGCAGGTCGGAAGTCGGCGGGTTATTCAGTATGGTGCAGCCTTCATGCTCTTGCTTGGAATGGTTGGCAAGTTCAGCGCTCTCTTTGCATCGCTGCCTGACCCAGTGCTTGGTGCCCTCTTCTGCACTCTCTTCGGTAACGCATGTTTTCTTGCTTCTCTTCGTGTACTGTGATATCTTTTTACTCTAGTGGCGTGCGTTTATGTACGTTGTCATGTTTTCTTAGAAAAAAGACTATCTAAATGTTGAGACTTGCTTTGTTTTCATTTAGGAATGATTACAGCCGTGGGTCTGTCTAATCTCCAGTTCATAGATTTAAATTCTTCTCGTAACCTGTTCGTACTTGGATTTTCCATTTTCTTTGGACTTGTCCTTCCAAGCTATCTCAAACAAAATCCACTGGTCACAGGTACGTGTTTCTGTTCACTTGCATAAAGCATACTTTTACCTTATACTCAGCAAAGTACATACAAGTACAAAGTAACTTTGTACTTGTAAAGAAGAGTAAAGAAGGTAAAGGGTAAAGAAGAGTAAAAGCGGAATATTGATGAGACAATGAGAGCTATAGACAAGAATGCAGATGTGTTCAGAGGTGGAGAATTCTTGAGATGTTGAGACAGGAGTTAGGTGTTTCGGTGGGGTACATCTGAAGCGTTGCTGCGTTCTCTGGGTACGATTGTAGAGCGAGGCAAGGAGACAATACCCGGTTGGACTGGGAGAAGGACTTAAAAGGTGAATCTGAATTGTAAATGATGTTAAAAGAACGAGAGGGAATATCAAATTAGAGCATGAAAACTAGGATTTGTATTAATTTTTTAACGTTTTTGTCGCTGTGGATATGCTTTTTGAAACTGAATGTTAATGAACTCTTGTTTCGGACCGTTAGCCAATTATAGTTTAGGGAACTCATGGAGAAGGCATTTTTTTTACTTGTACCATTCAGTAGCGGTAATGACAGTGTGCAGCATCAAAGGATGGCATGCCATTACATCTTGATAAGCAATTGACAGCTCATGGAGTTATGTTTGGGGAAAGAAGGGGTCCCCGTGGGTGGACTGTGTTGGTTAAAGTCTCTTCCGAATGTATTCCCATAGGGTTTTGAGAGTCCTATTTGAGCAAATTCCCCAGTGACCTCAATGGCAAGTTTTCGCAGTTGAGCTGCATGTAAATCAGTAGGATGTGCATATATATGGTAAGAATACAAGCTCGGAATAAACTTTTTCTTCTCCGTTCTTCTAGGAATAGCGGGCATTGATCAAGTATTGAATGTTCTCCTCACTACAGCCATGTTTGTCGGTGGTTGCGTTGCATTTATTTTGGATAATACCATTCCAGGTCAGCTATGTGAATGCGTCATTTCATTTGAAATAATAACCACCTTTCTGAATAAGGAGAGCGTTTTAGGGAGGCAGGAGATGAGATTGCTGGCTCTTCTGTTGACTTTGTTTAAACGCCTAGGGCAAACTGCTCAGCACGAGCCTGCCTCAGTTTCTTTGAGTACGCTTTGAATCTTCAGGTTAAGGTCTCTGTACTACTGAAGATAAAATCATGCTGGGAAAAAGAAATCAAAATGGAAGAGACCAGACTGAACTTCCTCAGATGTGCTAGTAGTAACGTATCTGTATGTATATGTGTGTGTGTGCGCCTGTGTGTATCTGTCTTAATTTTCTTGTTTGTTTTAACTTCTAGGAAGCCCTGAAGAAAGGGGAATAAGGAAATGGAAGAAAGGGGTTGGCAAAGGAAGCAAGTCGCTGGATGGCATGGAAACGTACGATTTGCCCTTTGGCATGAACTTTATCAAAAAATACAGGTGTTTCAGCTTCCTGCCAGTCAGCCCTACCTTTATGGGCTACACGTGGAAAGGTTTCAGGAAAAGCAGTAACTGCAGGAGTTCAGACGAAGACTCGGAAGCTACAGTATAGCCTTAGTTGAAATTATATTATCTAGTTGTAGTAAGAGATGTATTTGCAGTTTCTTGCTGATTAAGAAGCATTAAAATATATGTTTTGTATATCTGCATTTAAATTCTGGAACCAGAGCTGAGACGGATTTAAAAAAAAAAAAAAAAAAAAGCTTTCCTGTTGTGGGTGGTGGTAGCCAGATCTAGTGTCTCTGGGTCAAATTTTCAAATGCTCCTCTGTTCACTTTTCAAAAGCTTTAGATATCTATGCACCTAAGTCCGTTTTTTATTTTAAACGGAACTTAGGTTCCTAAAGTATTTAGGTGCTATTGAAAAGGTTACTTTTTATGGTGATTTTTATTTAAGTCATTGATGCTGGCATTTTTGGCGCGTTCATTGCTGGCAATGTTAGTTACGCCAGAAAATTTGAATTCTGTGAAAAGTTTAAAAAAAAAAAATTTGTACTTCTAAACACAACGTCGAATCAATATACATATTGTTTTTCAGTCACTAGTTTGCACATTCCATATTTTCAGACCCCTGTAAACCAGATGTAGTTTGTACTTGCAAATCATGAGAATTTTCTTTTTTTTTTTCCTTTTATTATTTGAATTATTGATAGTTGAGTAAGATTTCCAGTGTGAGACAGAAGTTTCCATACTAAACTTTGCTGCTGAAAGCTATGACTGACTTCTCTTAGCTTAGTGCTGTACGAGGAGCCCCTCATTTTGTGTCAGTTCACATTTTTAGACGTATTTGCTTTTTTTTTGCCCGGCATTTAACCACCTAGCTATTGTCCAGGTGCAGGTTTTCTTTAAAGGGACATATATAACTTTAGTTTTACGACCGTGGGAAACTTTTAACTTCCGATAGGACCTGATAACAGTTCTTACAGCGCAGTGCCTGTATCCAGCTAGGTGACGCAGAGGCCTCCTGAAGGAAACTGATAATTTGTTAAGCGCTTCTAAGCAGTTAAGGTCTGTCTGTGTGCAGCTTTCCCTGTAGGGCAAAATCACACGGTGAAAAATGCTGTCAGCGTTCGCTTATTGGGGTCCGTACAAAATTGTCCTCTTTGGATGTTGAGATCTGGTGCTGCCCAAGAGCGGCTTATGTTACGTTGCCTCTTTTTTTGTTGTTTCTTTTTGTGGGGCGCCTTCAAACGCTTGCTGCTTTTGCAAAGGTGATCTTCCTTTATAGCAGAGACACTACATTTGATGGCCTCATCCACTGGATGGTTTAACGGGTATTGGGTCCAATCAGGGCACCATTCAGATTTTTTTCCTGGAATAGTCTCAGCTCTGATGTTATGTGGGTGTTCACGCTCATCATGCATTCATAACTGAAAGTTTTGTTCCTGTTTAATGTTTTTACTATTGCAAGTTAGTTTTAGACTTCAGTGTGGCCCCAAAAGCATTTTTAAGCTGTGGAGATCATCAGGGAAATGTAGTGTAATGTAATTTCAAGGCCAGTATGCTCTACAGTGCTTGCGTTTTGTATTCCTGGAAAAAGCGTAACAGTGGATCCTGTAATTCACTAATATATTTATCAAAGTTTGACTACTGGACATGAGCGCGGGAACTCTGTTTTCTCCGAGTCTGCTTCCAGGTGAATTTGTTATTGGTTATTGAAGCATGGAAGGGTTTGGGTGGGGAGGGCGAGGAAAGAGCTTAATGGATCAGTACTGAATAGCGTAGAATCGGAATGATTCCATTCGTATAGTTTTCAGCATGTCATGGCTGTTTCCAGAAACTATTTTATACAGCTTTTTTCCATAACAAAGCATGTGTGTGTTCCTGCTTCAGGGAACTTTCAGTAGTTTGCAGTCTTGGTGTCAATTGGACTATTTCGAAAGCTGGTCGGAGGAGTTGTTGTGTAATAAGACAGGGTTAGTTTGCCTGTGAAACTTAAGTCATTTTATAATTTTTAATTTTTCCTCTTTGGGTAGCGAGGTGTTAGATTTTTCACATCTGCTCGCAGATAGTTGGAGCGCGGAGACCTCTAATCAGTGGCACAAAGCTTCCAAATTTCCCAACTTTATATGCCATCAAAGATGCGTGGGAGAGATGGGGGAATTCGGAAAGAGGAGGCTGAAAAAAGAAAAAAGGAGAAGGAAAAAAAAAAAAGGAACAAAAAAGAAAAAGCCCCCTATTTAAGGTGGCTATAATCATGTGCAATGCCAGAGTTGGTTAACTTATAAAGGTTGAGAAAGGGAGGCAAAAGCTTTGTCTTTAAAACAGTGCCACCTCTTAACTGAATAAGTGTTTCGAGTCCAATGATTCTGCTGGGCACAGAGTACGGCGGTGAAACCTGTGTTTTGAGGCTTTTCTGAAC